ACTACTAACTACTACTACTACTACTACTACTACTACTACTACTACTACTACTACTACTACTACTACTACTACTACTACTACTACTACTACTACTACTACTTCTACTACTACTACTACTACTACTACTACTGCTACTACTACTACTACTACTACTACTACTACTACGACTACTCGTGTGGTGAGGTCGATTGTGAGATCGATAGTGAGATGGATCGTGAGGCTGATCGTGAGATCGATACCCTGTCGGTGACGGGGGGTGCCGCGTCGTCGATGGCGCGAAAGTGAGATCGATAGTGAGATCGTTAGTGAGATCGATAGTGAGATCGATAGTGAGGTCAATAGTGAGACCGATCGTGGGATCTGTGGTGAGATCGATTGTGAGATCGATAGTGAGATCTATCGTGGGACCGATTGCGAGAACAATAGTGAGATCGATCGTGAGACCGATTGTGAGATCGATAGTGCGATCGATCGTGAGACCGATTGTGAGACCGATTGCGAGATCGTTAGTGAGATCGAAGTGAGTTCGACAGTGGTATCCGTCGAAATTGTCTTCAGTTAGTTGTCCCCTCCCCCTCAACCTCCTTATCAGCCGAAGGGTGGTCGTATAGGTATCAAGCTAGGTGCGTAAGCGTCATATTTGACATCCTATCCCTCCCTCCCATCCCTTACCATTGCGTAGATATCCTGTCTACTCGCGCAGCCGGATGTCGAACAGAGCAATAATCCCAAGATGATATGCCATGTATGGTGTAGCACGGCATAGCATGGCATCGTGTCGAGAACGCGACTTGTTTCGACAACAAGGTCAGAGGGAAACCAAACATAACACAGGACTGGAAATTCAAATGGACGGTCTGGGAAGCGGGAAGCGCAAAATGAGATCAGCGCTACAGCGTAAGCACGATTTCGAAGGAACCGCGGAAATGAGACCAGCGCTGCAGCAGGAGCACAATTTGGAAGGACTGGAAGCGCAGAAGCGAAGCCAACGCTGCAGCTGGAGCACGACTTGGAAGAGCCGAAACAATGAAATGAGGTCAGCGCTACAGCGGGAACATGATTTGGGAGGACTGAAAATGGGAAAATTGAGCCAACGCTGTAGCGGTAGCGCCATTCTGAAAGGACTGAAAATGCTCGGATTGGGAAAAAGACACATGGCATTTATCAACTCGGCGGCATCCTTTGTGTGAAAGCAATACGTGGAGAAGGCCAGGACACCTCATCGCCGTCTTCGGGGAAGAGGGGAGAGTAGTATTCATATATTGGGATCGTTCATAGTGCGTAGAGGAAGAGGCACAGGAAGGGGGAGAGGAAGGGAGGATGCAAGATGGGCGCGCTCGCTTGACATCATACAGCATGCAAAATCATGATGTCCCTTACCATGGAGTTGAGTCCCCTCTGATCCTGGAGTCTTATGTCGAAGAAGAAATGGACTCGTCCTGAAACGTGACAAGCACTAAAGCAAGAACACCCCGCTTGCCGGTGCAGCAGTACGGCCAGCGCGGCGGCGAGAGCGTCGTTCCATGGGACAGGGCCGCCATGAAAATCTCTACATGTGATAAGCGTTGCGAAGAGAGCTACATGTGTGGCGATGCAGTAGTGCGGCCAGCGCTGCGGCGAGAGAGTCTTTCGATTGGACAGAAATTTCTGGCAAATGTGGAACGTGCCAGTTCTTTTGCGGGGGCACCATTTTAGTTGATGCAAACATCCGGCCGGCGCTCCGGCGATGTCAACGTTCCGCTGGACGAAAGTGTTGCAACAAGCGCACAACCTTCGAAGGGCCACGGGTGTTCGGATTGGGAAATACTACAGGGAACCACTCTTGGGCAATCCCGTACAACAAACAAAAAAAACTGTAGAGGCGGCGGAAAGGAGGGAAATGCTCACACTGACGAACTACAGCGAAACGGGGGGGGAAGGAGAGAGAACGGGAGGGGAACGGACGGGATGGGGGAAGAGCAGGGAGCAGGAGAGGGATCGGCGCTTCGCTCGCGTTGCTACTCCTGCTCCTCCAAGCCACGGCGCTGTCAAACAATGACACACACACACACTTTTTGGCGTGGCGGTCCCGCGCGCAGCGACAGAGCGTCCAATGACACACACACACACACACATGTATATTTATATACACACAGATCTGTGCGTCGGCGGCTAGGCAGAATCACTGCGCTGGCGACGAAGCGAAGCGGGGCTGCCGACGACGAAGCGACGGCCGAGAGGAGGAAGAAGCAGGACGGGGCCGCTCAGGGGGGTGCTCGTCGTTCCCCGGGGCGCGCGGCGCGGCGGCCATCAGAGCCGACGGGGGGCTGGCAGCAGCAGCGGGGCTGGAGAGCCAGCGGCGGCGGGGGCGGATGCTGACCAGGGCGGTAACGAACGCACACACACACACACACACACAACGCACGCACACACACACACACACACACACACACACACACACACACACACACACACGCACACACACACACACACACACACACACACACACACACACACACACACACACGCACACAACGCACGCACGCACGCACGCACGCACGCACGCACGATCGCACGCTCGCACGCTCGCACGCACGCACGCACGCAGTTTTGAGCGTCGCGGGCGGGGCGAGAAAGCCACTCGGCCGATCGGTAGTCGCCCCCGACGGGCAAACGCCGGGATCATCAGAGGCGAAGGAGCCCCCGGGCCCTCGCACGGAAGATGGCGGGGCAGAGCAGCGCAGCGGAAGACGGCGGGGGGCGAGCGCCCGCGCGGCACACGGGAGGCGTCGGGGCGAGGCGGCGCGTGGCCCGAGGGGCGAGCGGCGGTGCCCTCGGCGAGGCCGTCTCGCCGCTGCGGGGCGTCGGCGGCCGCGCGGCGCCCGGGAGGGCGAGAGGAGCGCCGGCGGCGAGCACGGCCGCCCCGAGCCGAAGGCGGCAGGGGCGGGGAGCCAGTGGGGCGGCGCGAGGAGCGGCGCCCCCATGGTGGCGACGGGGAGGGTCGGCGCCACGGGCAGCACGCAGGACACACACGTCGGCAGTCGGCGGCGCAGGGGCTCCTCATAGCGCGGGCGGCGGATGGTGGTGCGAAGCGCGATGGAGCACTGTCGAAGGCACAAGTGTACGAATCCTGCACACGGTCGACGCAGCGAGGCGCTGTGTGGAGGGGAAGCTGCAGTATCCAAACGAGACGTGCAGCGGCCAGAAAACCGAGGAGGCGGCTCAACTCGAAGTAAACTGAAGCGCGAGCAGTCTGGTACGAATTGGCGGCCACTGGATCACCGACACGAAGGTGTTAGGCAGTGAAGCGCAAAAGAACGAAACAACAAAACACAAACAGACACACACACACACACACACACACGACCTTAGGCAAGCGCGCTCCAACACTCGCAAAGTAACTACTCGCAAATGGCCTGATCCGCCGAGGGGGGCTGCGATCCATTACATCGAGGCAGACGCTTGTTTCTCGGACGTTTGCGAGTGGGCACTTTGCGAGTTGTGGAACGCGTTTGGTGAACCCTGCCGCGCCACGCGTGCAGAAAGCTGTGGTGGAAGGTATGGCTACCACCATGCCGGGGCAAGACAGGATGAGCACCCAGAGGCATCAAACCCTGATAGACCGCTGGACTGCACTTTTCAGCATGCTTTAAAGACGCCAGGACGCACCGCCTCGGACCACACTATGCCCTGATACGTTAGGGTCCTACGAGCTTCGCATTGTTATGATAAGCTTGTGGAGCTTCCCTTGTCCAGCGTCAGAATACTTCCTCCCTGGCCTTGGAATGCCTACATAAGGTGCACACTGACATGATGGTCGAGTACGAGGGTAGTGAAATGCTCCCGAAATCTATGATTGTGGTGAGCTGCGGTACCGACCCGGGGGCACACGTGAACTCCAGCGAGAAGGACTTGAAGGAAGTGCTGAATACCTCGGACCCGAGCAAGCCAAACCCTTCGACCATAAACATATACCACGTCAGAGATGGGTCAACCAGACGCAGCATCTAGAGCAGCGGCGCAACGACAAAACAGGTCATCGGACCAAGAATACCACCGCACGGCATTACTCCAGCACCCCGTGGCCAATGCATTCGACGCTAGCCACATGGTTCGTCCCAGAAAGCCTGAATCCCCCAAAAACATGCATCCCTGGGGACGCGCTCTTTGCTTCAGCCAGCTTCCGCGAGCCTTCCGCCAACGGCCATCGGCGTAGGCACCATCACTTTGCTTCCGCCAGCTACCGCCAGCCTTCCTCCCGGGAAGCCCTCCGCCCGGGCAGAGATGACAGCTTCTCGAGCCGGATAACAAGGAGTCTTAATAGGTCGGCTCAATGTTATGCTGGCTGGCCTCAATGTTAGAATATAGCGAACCCTTACAGACAGGCCGTTCATGGCAAACGTGTTCGCTGCACGTCCCGTGGAGGGAGTCCGCTAGCCCTCCCCGGATACTGAAGCCTCTGGAAGGCGAGGCCCGTCCTGGAGAGCGCGACGCGTGGCGCCGCACCGCTGCACAGAGCCACACGGCACCTGCAAGCGCCAAACTCGTAGCGGGGTTCGACGCGGCCCCACACGGCACGGCACGGGTGGCCGGGCTCGACGCGGCACTGCGCAGCACCACACAGCCCGGGCAGAGGGCTCGCCAGGGCACCACACCACACTTTCAGAGGCAGCGCACGGCCCCGCACGGCACCACACGAGCGGCGGGCTCGGCATAGCATGACACGACACCGCACAGGCAACAAATTCAACGCACCACCACGCGGGCAGCAGATTCAGCACGACAACGCACGGCACCACGGCTGCCAACGGATCTCAGACTTGGATGGCCGCAGTGGAACCCTCATCAGCGACATGGAGAACCCATGCAGCACTCGTCATACGAACAGAGCCCCTTCCTGAAACCCATCCAGCGAACTGCATCGGCCGCCAAGGCAGGAGCGAGCAAAGCCTCCAGCTTACACATTGGGTGGGCAAATGACTGCAAGCACAAATATGTTATGTCAGACGCTCGCGGACGAAGCCTCACATGAAATGTTATCGAAGAAAGACGACTTGGAGTCGTAACCGCTGAGGGGCTTCAGCTTATCGTCCACCTGAAATTCAACAGCTCCCTCAGTTAATTTGGAGAGAAGCACGAAGAGAAGGCATGTACGGGAGATGAACGATCAAACATTCGTGGGTGATGCTGTGCTCGCTAAGTCATGTAGAGAGGACGCGGGACAGCACCGTAGCCCCATCGCTGGAGAGAAGAGCGAGTACAGAAGGGTGCCAGTGGAGCGAGAGACATTGAAATGAAGGAAAGCTCGAACGCAAACCAATACCCGAGAATGCCATTGACCTTGAACCGCCTCTTTCTGATCATCATCACTCTCCTACTCCGCAACCGACGTCTCGAGAGGGGAGACTTGAGCAACAAAAACAAGGCAGCGCTGGCGAACGGATGATCGGGGATCCCGTCAGGCAGGCCCGCCACCGTGCCTTGAGGCACGAGTTGGAGTCCTCAGGTCCCTGAAAATTACCCGTCATCAGTCCGCCTCCAGGAGGTTCTCGACAGACATCCCAGGAGATCCCCACAGGCATCCAAGAGGCCCACAGCCTCGCCACGCTGGCGGAGTGGGCCGAAGGTCACTAAATCCGCCGCCGCTGTTGATTCATCACAGAGGTGCCTGGCGTGCTGAGGTTCTGGTGGTTGTTGGCTCGTTTTATTCACCCCCCCTGGGATCTGGGCCCAGCGCGCGGGCCGCCCGGAACGCCCCGAGAATCCACATCTCGTGGCTCGAATCGCTCCCAGGACGGCCAAGATGGCCCAGGATGCCCTCCACGAGGCCTCCAAGACGCTTCTGAGACGGCCCAAGATGGCCACGAGGCACCCAAGACGGCCAGGATGCACACCGGACGTCTCAAGGTGGCGTCAAGATTGCCCCAGACGGCCCCAAGTGGCCCCTAAGAGGCCTCCAAGACGGCCCACGAGGCCTCCTCCAGGAAGGCACGAAGAGGCCAAAATCATTAATCACTGATTCTCATTTGGCTCCTGAAAGAGTTGGGCAGTCGCTTCTCGGCCTTCCGAAGGCCCAAGACGGCCCAAGACGCCTCCCATATCGCCTCCAGAGCGCCCGAGAAGCCTCCAAGATGGCCCCAGGGCAGTCCAAGAGGCCCCCAAGGCGGCCCAACGGGGCCAACTCGGTCTCGGATGGTTTCCAAGGCATCCAAGATGGCCTCCGAGACGGCACCGAGGCGCCCTCAGAGAGCCCCAAAGACGGTCCAGAGAGGTGCCCAAGACGGCCTCCGACGTCGTCAGACGGGCCAGAAACGGCCCAAGACGGCCAGAGAGGCGTCTGAGAAGCCCTCAAAGGCCCGTAAGAGGCCCAAGAAGGCCCCCAAGCACCAAAAGAGGCTTCCCAGAGGCCCCCGAGGCGCTCCCAGGAGGCTCCGAGTCCTCCTCTTCTCGTCTCTACGTGTTCCCCGAAGGGCTTCCACAACGGCTCGGGAAACGCATGGTCCAATAGCGTGGCCAAACTTTGCATCAACGGTTGGCCGCATAGGCGTATCCTAAAAAGCAGAGGCCGCGGTGATTCGCAGTAGGCGTCTTCGATATACGTGTGGGTACAAGCATCCCCTATTATTACATCCCTCCTGGGGTACATTGCAACGGGAATAAGCCTCCTCACCCTCCACGCCCTTCTTGGCGCCCTCGAACTTCTTGTTCTCGGATTCGTAGTCGAAATCCTCGTCGGCAATAACAAGGTAAGGAAAATGATACTGGCGATTGGATCCCAAACAGAGTTCTGCAGGGCTAGGCAGGGGCTAATATGGGCTTAGTGGTCGCAACTGCGCCACCCCGAGTAACAAGGCCAGCTCATGGCCACACAGAGCCAACGGCGACAACCAGTGTTGGCGCCTGAGCAGGAGCATAGAGGTACCAGTGGCGGCAGTCGACGAGCGGGGGATACCCAGGGGCAAGCAGGGGGCAGTGGTGGCAAGCAACCGTCGTGCCACCCAGGGCAATTGCAAATACCAGGGTGCTGATATGGGCTGCAGGCAGGCGTAAACGCTGGCGCCTCCAAGGGATAGCGAGGCTGATCAGAAGCTGTTCGAGGCCAGCAGCGGTGATTTGTGCTACCTGAGGCCAGTGGGGCTAGGAAGCTAGGAAGGGGCCTGTCGGAACCAGTGGCGGCACCCAACGTTTGCATCACCCTTGTGGCAACTTGGGCAAACCTGAGGCAACCAGCACTTTGCAACACCCAGGGCACCTGGGGACACTCGGTGGCTTGGTGGGGCTAGAAAGTCAACGTTGGCCCCACCCTGCGCGACTGGGGATGCTGCGGGACTCCTATGGGCCAGCAACGGCCAGCGGCACGTCCGCCATCCAGGTCCGGTGGGGCTCGTCGGGCGCTGCACGCCCGTGGCGGCAAGCGGCGCCTGCGCAACTGGGGACAGTCTGGGCTGGTGGGACTAGTCAGGGGCTCGTGGGCGCCAGCGGCAGCAAAGGGAGCTTGATCCGCCCAGGGGACACTGAAGGGGCCCTGGGACACACAAATATCCGCAGTTGCGGACAAGAGTGAGGGGGCGGCGGGGACATCGGCAGTCTGCGAGGCTTTGAAGAAGCCCGCCGCAGGCGCAAAAATTTTCAAGCTATACAACGAGCCCGCCGCAGGCGGGGTGGGTCGCGGGTGGGTCGCGGAGTGGGTCGCGGGTGGGTCTCGGGGTGGGTCGCTGGTGGGTCGCTGATGCAAAAGAAACCCGCCGCAGTCACCGAAGTTTTGGCTTGTTCAGTGAACGTAGTTTGGGTCGCGGGTGGGTTGCGGGCTCTCCACCTCCACCTGGAGGGAATTCAAAAATAGCCCCCCGCAGGCGCCGAAAATTTTGATTTGTACACTGAACGCGGTTTGTGTCGCAGGTGGGTCGCAGGTTCTCCACCTGGAACGAATGCAAAAGAAGCCCGCCGCAGGCGCCGAAAATTTTGTGTGGGTCGCGGGGTGGGTCGCGGGTGGGTCGCGGGTGGGTCGCGGTGGGTCGCGGGTGGGTCGCGGGTGGGTCGCGGGGTGGGTCGCCGGTGGGTCGCGGGTGGGTCTCGCGGATGGGTCGCTGGGGGGGTCGCGGGGTGGGTCGCGGGCGAGTCGCAGGGTGGGTCGCGGGTAGGTCGCGAATGGGTCGCGGGTGGGTTGCGGGGTGGGTCGCGGGTGGGTCGCGGGGTGGGTCGCGGGTGGGTCTGGGGGGGGTCGCGGGATGGGTCGCGGGGTGGGTCGCGGGTTGTGGGACGACCACAACAACGAACAACAAACAACAAACAACAAACAACAAACAACAAACAACAAACAACAAACAACAAACAACAAACAACAAACAACAAACAACAAACAGCAAACAACAAACAACAAACAACAATCAGCAATCAACAAACAACAAACAACCAACAACCAACAACCAACAAACAGCGAATAGTAAATTGCAAACAACAAACAACAAACAACAAACAACAAACATCAAACAATAAACAACAAACCACAAACCACAAACCACAAACAACAAACAACCATGAACAGACAACAAACAACAAACAACAAAGAACAAAGAACAAAGAACCAACAACAAACAGCAAACAACAGACAACAACAACAACAATAACAACAACAACAACAACAACAACAACAACAACAATAACAACAACAACAACAACAACAACAACAACAACAACAACAACAACAGTAGAAGCAGCAGCAGAAGCAACAGCAGCAGCAGCAACAACAACCACAACAACAACGAGAATCCGCAGCGCGGAATTCCACTTCAGCCACGCACCCAGGGACAGTGAATGACCGTTCGGTTCAGCTTCCTCACTCTGAAATAAACACAAATCACAGGATGCCCCATATCTTCCCGATATCTTCTGGGTTCGTTGTCCTGCCCCCCGCTTCCCATATTTTCCCATATCTCCTGGGGAATCGACGATTGATTGTGTCCGTGCGTGTTTTGTTTCTTCCTGGGGCACGCGGAGAATCTCGAAGGATGGGCGCCCGTGTGGGCCAGCGGGCGCTTGCGCCACCCCGGGGCAGGCGAGGCCACCGCGGGCTCGCCGAGGCCTGCATCATGTGCAGTGAGCCGCGGCGCCGGGAGGGGCCAGAGTGGCTGGCCGGGGCAGGGCTCCAGGAAGCAGCCAGCGTTAAGTCGGTACAGGGGGATTTTAGACGAAAAATTAAAAATACCATGAAAATGCCCCGAAAAAGGTCAAAAATACTAGTAGAAAAAACAAAAAAAAAAAAAAAAAAAAAAAAAAAAAAACGAATCCCGTCCCCAGACTATTTTTTACTATTTTTGAATTATTCCCCCTGTAGAGGGACAGGCCCGACTTGAAGCCAGCGCAAGCAAGCGATGCTCGCAGCGTGCCCCACCTGGGGCAAGCCAGGTGAGCGAGGCGCGTCAGGGGCTCGTCACGGGCTGGTCGAGGATAGCGAAGGCAAGCGGCGCTGGCGCCACCCGCAGCAAGAGGGGACGATCAGGGGCTGGTTGTGGCAGCTGGCGGCTGCGCAACCTCGGGCAAGAGGGGTTGGTAGGGATGGTCAGGAGCTATCAGGGGACGCCTGAGACTACCAGCGGTGCTTGACATGGGCTAGGCAGAACTTGTGGCGGCAAAACGAGCGAAACGAGCGGGGCCAAAAGGGCGGGGAACGCAATGGAAATGTCATACATCGGAGACAGCACATATCACACGAATCAAGTCAGAGCCCAGTCAGAGAAAGCACTGCTCGTGCAAAGAAGAAAACGCTCAACAGAGACCATGTCATTTCCATCGATGTGTTTTTCCTCTCACGCGCCCCTGATCGAGTTGCGAACCAAGTGGGGCCAGGCGGCAGAGCAAATGGGGTCAGAGAATCGCACCGCATAGCCGATGCATCGGAGACGGCAGGATGGAGAAAAACTACCCCAGATCGTAACTACTCGAGCCCTATTTGGGAGGCCTGGACCTTCGTAACTGCGGCGTGAGGGCGAAGAGATTGCACAGGGACCAAGGACAACGACTGACAACGACGAGGCAGGATTTGGATCCAGAGAAGTGGTCCGCGCTGGGGCGAGAGCGCCATTCTTAACGACAGGAGCAAAGCTCCGATCCAAAAATAAGGCCCACGCTGCAGCGGGAGCACCCATGTTTGAAGGAGTGCAGCCGACCGGATTGGAAAAACAAAAAAGAAAGACCAACTCGCCAACATGATGTCTGAAAAAACAATACGCGGAGGGGGGCGGCTATTCTCAGCACGGCTTCTGGGGAGAGGGGAGAGGGGTATTCATAGTGAGTAATTGTAAAGTATGTAGACGCCTCCCAAATGAGGTCCGAGCTGATGGGGTCGGAGGATCGCGCCGTGTCGCCGATGCATCGCCGATGCATCGGCGCTGCATCGGCGACGCCGGCGTGGAGAACACGGGCTCCACATCGAGCCGCATCGCCGATGCAGCGGCGACTCAGCGGCGATTCTCCGACCCCGTCTGCTAGGACCCCATCTGGCGGGCCTAGAGCGAATCGGCTCACGACGCTGGTTCCTCGGCACCTGCCGGCGCAAGAGGCGCCAACGTATCCAGGAAAGTGGCGGACCAGCTGCATACAGCAGATTTAACAAACCCCCTTTCCCAATCCAATTTATTTTCGTTCCGCCCAGGCTTCCCTCGGCCCCGACCGAGCCCTGCAAGCATGGTCAGTCAGCCTTACGGTGATGAGCGTGTCTCATAGCGGCCCCTGCGTGATATTTAGAGCTCCGACGAGGCACCATGACAAAAACATCATTGCATGGCAGCAGGCCAACAGCCAGAAAGGGCGCTGCAGCGAAGCGCTAATCCGCCGACACCCGCTTGCTGAAAGTGAAAAGGCGTGTGAGATGATTGGCGTCCCCTCCCTCTTTTCCTGCTACCCTGGGGTCCAACATCCCGTTTGAGGGCCCCCCCTGGGCCTATGAGCTCGTCAACGCTTCCCCTGAAGCCTCTGGAGCCTCCGAACGGTCCCAAGATGGCCCAAAAGGGCCCAAACAGGGCGCCAAGATAGTCCCAGAGAGCGTCGACACGGCCTAGAATAGCGCCACGACGGTCCAAGATGGCTCCGAGACGGCCCACGAAGCCTCAAGATGGACCAAGGCTGCTCCCAGAGGACCGCCGAGAGAGCCCCAAGGGGCAAAATTTGCTCCATTCTTGTCAAGAAAACGTATATGTTTAGCATACTCGCCTTTTTCGTCTTCACCGCGTCCAAAACGGCCCAAGGGACCGGCGCAAGATCGTCCCTAGACAGCCCGTGAGGCCCCCAAGAGGGCTCCAAGACGGCCCAGGAGGACCCCAAGATGGCCCCAGAGGCCCTTCAAGACGGCCCAGGAGAGGCCCAAGAGGCCTTACGAGGAGCCCAGGAGGGGGAAGACGAGCTAACATTAAGTCGGGCCTGTCCCTCTACAGGGGGGAATATTCAAAAATAAAAAATAGTCGGGGGACTATTTTTGGAGTATATTGTTTGACCATTTTGGAATATGTTTTGAATATTTTCAATTGTTCGTCGAAAATCCCCCTGTGGGGGGACACGCCCAACTTGAAGCTAACATTCCGAGCCCGTCCCCCCCCCCGATGGGCCCAGGAGCCCCCCCCCCAGGGGCCCCCGAGGCGCCCCCGAGAGGCCCCAGAAGGCTTCTCCGGGAGGGCCGCGTGGCGCCCCCACAGGGGCCACGAGAGCACTCAAGGGAGGCCCCCGACGGGCATCCCAAGGGACCCTCGGATGCTGGGAGCGGCCATCAGAGGGTTGCTGGCCATCGCTCGGACGTCCATTCCCTGTGCTCTTTTGTTTCAGTTTCGTGCGTGGTTTTGCTCCTCGATTGTCGGAAGCTGCCAAGAAGGGGGTGTCCAAGAGGGGGGGGTGCAAATCATGACCGGCGGGCGGCATGTGCGCGGCCCGGCGGGGGGGCCAGGGACGTAATTTTAATGAAGCAAGAAGAGGCGCCATGAAATCTGGGGAAATATCATGGCCCCCGCCATGATATCCACCCCCCCTGGTCGTCACCCCCCTCTTTGCCGCCCCCGAAGATGCATTTCAGAGGCTTCTGAGCAACAGCCCAGGCACGCTGGCGGGTTGGGCCGAAGGCCACAAAATCCGCCGCCCCCTGTCGATTCATCACAGGGGTGCCTGGCGTGCGAGACCCTTTCGGTTTTTGGTTTTGGCTCTTTTCCAAAAGAACTCCCCATGGGCCTCCGGCGCGTCCCGCCGGCCACCCGGAAAGAGTGCCAAGGACCTCAATCCGGAAAAAAATCCTCGAAGATGGTCCAAGATGGCATCCAAGATGGCCACGTTGGCCCAAGATGGCCTCCAAGATGGTCCAAGATGGCCTCCAAGTTCGCCCAAGATGGTCCAAGATGGCCTCCAAGACGGCCCAAGAGAGATCAAGACGGCCCAAGACGGCCCAAGAGGCCCCCCAGAGGCCTCCAAGACGGCCCAAGAGGCCTCCAAGGTCCTCAAGGAGGGCCCGAAGAGGCCAAAATCATCGATTTTACTTAGGGTTTTGAAAGATTTTGGCATTTGCTTCTTTTCGGCCTTCCGACGGCTCAAGACGGCCCAAGAGGCCCCCAAGATCGCCCCAAGATCGCCCACTAGGCCTCCAAGATGACCCCATGTCGGCCCAAGAGGCCCCCAAGACGGCCCCAAGAGGGCCCCAAGACGGCCCAAGAGGCCTCCAAGACGCCCAAGATGGCCTCCAAGACGGCCCTGGAGCACCCCAAAAGGGCCCCCAGTCGGCCCAGAGAGGCTCCAAAAATGCTTCCAAGACGGCCCAAGATGCACCCAAGATTGTCCAAGATGGCCTCAAGATGGCCCGAGACGGCCCTAGAGGCTCCCAAGAGGCCTCCAAGACGGCCCAAGAGGCCTCCAAGGGCCAAAATCATTGATTTTCGTAAGGTTTTTGAAGGATTTGGGCATTTGCTTCTTTTCGGCCTTCCGACGGCTCGAGACTGCCTTGATTCTGTCCTTCTCCTCATCCTCCTCCTCCTGATCTTCCCCGCCATCCTCCCCCAAGTGTTCCCCGAAGGGTTTCCACCACGGTTGGGGGAACACATGGTCCGATAGCTTGGCAGAGCTCTTGCCACAACGCTCGGACACATGGGCGGTTTCAAACCTCTTGCTCCCCCACGCGTTCCCCGAAAGCTTTCCAAACCAACTCGGGAAACAACTGGCCCGATAGCCTGGCCAAGCTCTAGCCCAGCTGTCGGCCACATAATTAGGCGCTTCCACAAGGGCAGGGGGCGGCGGTGATTCGCAGTAGGGGTCCTTGATAACTTCCACCAACGTCGCAAGCTCTTACTCCTTCTAAGGGTTCGGCGGAATGGCGTAAGCCACTTGACGAAAACATCTGGGCGTGCACATCTCACTTCCACGTGCCAACACCCAGCCCAAGATGACAAAGTCTAGAAATCCAGGTACATGGAATGAGGATCCTCCGCGTACTTGGTCTTCTCTGCCTCGTTGGACGAAGGTAACAGCTCACCTGGGAGAATACTTCAAATTCGTGCTACTCTCTCTCTGTTCTGCACGCTTCGAAACTATTGCACACTGCTGGACTCCTGACAGATAGGAGGGAACTCTCACGCAACCAGCTACGCTACGCTACTCCCGATCGGCGAGAAGGCCGTGCCAATCTAGAACTTGGGGGGGAAAATGTGGGCCCGTGCCTCCGGCACCAGGGCAGTCATGCGGTCGTCTGACATCGACTGCTGCTACAACAGGCAGGAATGGACGCAGAAGAGGGGCGGAGGGAAGGTAAGAACAGGGCGGGGGGGGAAACGTTTTTTTTGTCGCCTGGGGCAGGCTGGATCTCGAATCATCCCATGCCTGGCTCGTGAATAGTTACTACTTCGCCCCTGAAGCCCCCAAGAGAACCCCAAAATGTCTTCTGCAGGCCTTATGATGGCTGCTCGGGCTGACCCCTCCGTTACACCGACCGGAATGAACTCCCAGATCTCGAGCGTGGGGACCACAATTGCAAGGAATCCGTCCAAGGGGACCTGAAACATGGCCCCGGTGAGGCATCCGCCGAAGGGGCTCGTCTCTCTCCCCCGAAGGCCGCGAACCTCCCAGAGGCAAGCTGGACGCGAGGAGGAGCAGCAGCACACCTCGGGTACACGCTAGAGTGTCCTCCTCCTCCTCCTCCTCCTCCTCCTCCTCCTCCTCCTCCTCCTCCTCCTCCTCCTCCTCCTCCTCCTCCCTCCTCCTCCTCCGCCTCCTCCGCCTCCTCCGCCTCCTCCTCCTCCTCCTCCTCCTCCGCCTCTCCGCCCGCCTCCGCTCCGCCTCCGCCTCCGCCTCCGCCTCCGCCTCCTCCCCCTCCTCCTCCTCCTCCTCCTCCTCCTCCTCTCCTCCTCCTCCTCCTCCTCCTCCCCCTCCTCCCCCTCCTCCCCCTCCTCCTCCCTCGGCAAAAATGACTTTTGGTGCGCGGGCTAGGGGGCGCAGGGTGGCCAAATCCAAGCGCGCAATTCGCCGCTATCCCATCGCGCTCCGCGATCGGGGGGACTCCGATGAGCCCGCACCAAAAGGTCACTCCAGAGAAGGGTCCCTCCTACGTGTCATCGAGCACCAAGGTCGGGCCAAAAGCCCACTGACTGCGGAGGACGGACCCAAGCCCCCGACGCCCTGATGTGCCCCAAAGCCAATCCCGAGGGTATGTACGCCTTCCCCGGGACCGGCTCTTCCTGATTGACCAGGAAAGGACCCCTAACCCTTTGGGGGGGGACCTCGGTTAGGAGGACCAGGGACATTAGGAATCAGGGGTCTGTTCCACAAGTGTATCGAGCCAAACCGCCCCGAGCTATTATCCCAAATGAAAAAAACAGGGACCTCAGTGAGGCTACGTCTTCATCGTGTTATTAAGGTCAGGGCTTCTTTTGCCCTCAATGACTCGGCTATACGCAAGAGTGACCCTGGGTAAGAGTGACCTTTGGTGCGCGACTTTTGGGGGGCCGCGGGGGGGCCAAACCTGGGCGCGCAAGCAGCTGCTACTGCTTCGTTTTCAACCATCTGGGGACCCATCTGTGCCCGCACCAAAGGTCACTCCGGCGAAAAGTCACTCTTACGTTTAGTCGAATGACTTTCGTCCCCAGCAGCTTCTCGATGGCCCCGGGACCCAGCGAGGGGCCGAATGCGGCCACAAAAACCCTCCGCCGTGACCTTTCCACGACGCGAGGGGGGCCCTTTTTTCTGGCCACGGTTCGGGCATGCGGCATCCGGCGGCTGCTCGGGACAATTCGGGCCCCCGCGGCAACTGCTGGAAAGCATCCCGAGGGCGTAAAGACCTCCAACAAAGAAGCCAATGTCCGAATACATGAATGAACAAATACGACGACGGTACCACCAAGTAGAAGCAACAAGAGGCATCGGCGGGGCTGACCGACTGGGGCGCCGCCCGAAGAGTCGCCGCCCGCGCCTCCGCCGCCGCCGCCACCACGGCGGCCGCCGGCACCAGCCTGGCACGCGTTGGCCGAAGACGGGCAGCCAAAGGGGGAGGATGGAGAAGTCGAGAAGAGAAGGCGGGAAGATGGACGAGGAGGAAAGGAGGTTTGGTCAGGTCAGAAAACCCGCGAATGCCCTTCGATGAGAAGCCAACCAACTGGGTGAAGCCAACGCACCCCTAGCCCGCAGGACGAGGAGGATTGGGAGGAGGGGCACCGGATTCAAACCAAGATGAATTTACCGACGCTGCAATAATACACCTTCCCGTCCCATGTCCCCTCATCGTGAACCCATACAAATATATTGTTCCACTGCGGGCGCCCCACCCTTGAATGACGAGCGGCACGTCGGTCCGTCAATCACACGAGGGCGCCCTTGGCAAAAGATCCACATCCCACTTGAAGGACGCCCACGGTAGCCCCATTAAAGAAGCACTAGCCCGCCACTCGCGTAAATGTTACACGATGTCAACATCGCGGACGCATTCTCCGCGGCAGCCACATGCGAGAGCCTTTCAAGGAGGCCCAAGGATAACCCCATTTTGAAAAGAATCTGCCCTCCATCCGACTAAACGCTGCAAGATTCAACAACCGTATACGCACGCTTCGCGGAAGTCCCGAGCCCCCTTTCGAAAGAAGAGCCGCCCTCCATTCGCGTTAACGGTTCCACAATATGAACCGCCGGGTGGTAGGAAGGCGAGGAGGGGTCACGCAAGGGTAGCTGGTGGAGTTTCGACCCGAGTGCGCGCGAGACCGAGGGATATCCAAACTACGACGGGGGCGCTCGTGGGGGGCTGCGCCCAAGAGGCTGCAGATCCCGGGCGATGCCTCAAATCAGCTGATGAGGGCGGCGGTAATATCCGTGGCCGACCCACGATTGGACCCCCACTGGCTTCCAGGCCCTGGATTCCTTGTCTCACGGCTCCTCGTCCAGTGCCCCCATCGTCGTGGAAAGGACTCGCCGTCCAATCGCGCAGTGGAGGACAACTGTAGAAGCCGAGCATGCACGGCACCAGGGCGAGAGCCCCTGTTTGAAAACGACCCGCCTTCTGTATGTTTCGTGGCTGCGTGGAACGATGGTCTGCGGCGCCAGCAAAAGCGAGAGCCTCATTGTGAAGACCGTTGGTGGTCCACGCGTCAACGCGATCTGAATTCATCTGCTTCTTGAAGCCTCCTGCGGCGACGAGGACGATGAAGATGAGAATGCGGATGCTGCTGCTGTTGCTGGCGGCGACGGCGAGTCCGGGAGCGCCTGGGAGGAGATTGTCGCGTCTGGGAACGCCTCTGAGCGTCTTGGCAGTCTTGGGAGCGCTTGGGTCCAGAATCGGAGTCGGCGAGGGGTGCCCGAAACGTACCGATTTCCTGCACTTGCTATCGACGTATTGCTTTATTATACCTTTTGTGTCCAGAGGTTGTCCAGGGCCGGGGGGGAAGTTGATGTTGAAGATCAGCATATGCGCATCGACGACAATGTTTTGCATAGTATGGTGAAGGTTGGGTCGGATGGGCGTGCACCGAAGTGCATGTTTGTGCATAGGATGGTGATGGTTGGGTCGGGTTGATGTACACCGAATGTGCGAGACGATGTCGTCGTCTTCCTCGTCGTCGCCAGTCCCAAGCGAAATGAGGAACGAACAGAGAAACGAAACGTCGTAGTTCAGTCGGTTCCCTTACCTTTTCCCCTTCCGATTTTCCCTCCTCGGATGGGGGATGTCAGGAGGGGGGGTTAGGAAGGGGGGCTAGGACGGGGAGGGGGTCCCAGTTCAAATTACCGCCCCCCGAGGGTCCCGGCGGGTCCGGGGGTGGTCCCACCTCTCCTGCGGACAGGGGGGGCTGAGAAGGGTTGCCCCTGTGGGGGGGGGGCGGGGGGGGGCCAGCCCTGGCCTCGGCCCTGGCCCCCGGCCCTGGCCCCGGCCCCAGCCGTGGCCCCTTGGGCCCCTCCCGCCCTCCCGCCCTCCCTCCCGGGTCCCGAGGGGGATCCCGCCTTCAGGGTCGGCGGCACCGGCCGCAAGGCCTTCACAATAAAACTGTTCGCGGCGAGTAGTGAGGGTTGAGTCGCACGGATGCGCGCCGAATCATGTTTTACTTCATCGGATGGTGAGAGTCGGGTCGTATGGATGTGAGCAGAATTGCATCTCTGTTGAGTGGTAAAGGTTAGATCTGAAGGACGTGCACGGTATAGCATTTGTTGCACAGGATGGTAGAGGTTGGGTCATATGGATGTGCGCGGCGGTGAGGCGAGAACGACATTTTGAAAACGAACCGGAATGTGCGAAGCGCGGAGGCGAGAGCTTTGAAACCCAGCTGGGCTCCCTCCTTGAAACTGCTCCTAGATTTTGAAACGAATGTGGGCAGTGCCAAGGGGAGAGCCACATTTTGAAAACCATCAGGACTTCATCCGTGAAACTGTTGCAGATTTCAAACTTCAAGATCAGAATGGACGAGGAAGTCTCAGGCGAAACGCTGGCCTGGCCTACGGACATGTCTGGTGGTGCCACAGGGAGGAGTTAATCCACAAGGAAAAAGGAATGGAGAAGGGAGGAGAAGGAAGGGAGGCAGGAGGGAGGAAACGAGGGGGAGGAGGGGGAGGGGGAGGAGGGGATAGAGCTGCCACATGCTCCCAAATTCTAAGCCACCTTCACCGCCACCTTCCCCCCTTCCTCCTCGCCATACTCCCGATCCTCCTCCTCCTCCTCCTCCTCCTCCTCCTCCTCCTCCTCCTCCTCCTGCCCCTCCTCTTCCTCTTCCTCCCCCTCCTCCTCCTCCTGCTCCTCCTCCTCCTGCCCCTCCTCAGACTTCCTACCTTCCTTCTCAACCTCCTCCTCACCACCACCGCCACCATCCTCCCCCTCCGCATTGCTCCTGGTCCACCTCCTCTTCCCCCAACTTCAATGCCCTTCTCCTCCTCGTCCTTCTCCTCCTCCTCCTCCTCCTCCTCCTCCTTTTCAATGTCCTCCACTCCTCCTCCTCTCCTCCTCCTCCTCCTCCTCCTCCTCCTCCTCCTCCTCCTCTTCCTCCTCCTCCTCCTCCTCCTCCTCCTCCTCCTCCTCCTCCTCCTCCTCGTCCTCCTCCTCTACAATTAGTCAATATGAATACTACTCTCCCTCTTCCCCTGATGACGGTTTGAAAGTGGCCGACCCCCCCCCGCGTACTGTTTTTTTACACACAGGTTTCCCCGGAATTTGGTTTTCGCCTGCATGTTGTTCACAATGCTGCTCTCGCTGAGGCGCCGACCTCATTTTCGGGCCCCGCTCGTTCCGAACCGTGCTCCCGCTGCAGCGCTGGCCTTATGTCCGTGCTTCCGCTCGTTCCGAATCGTGCTCCCGCTGCAGCGCTGGCCTCATTTCCGCGCTTCCGCTCGTTTCGACTCGTGCTCCCGCTGCAGCGCTGGCGTCATTTCCCGTGCCATGCCACGGCATGCACTGCAATGCTAGGTTGATACTACGCTTTGCGGTGCTCTTCTACGCCATGCCATGCCGTGCTCTACAATGCATCGCGTACCCTTTCGGGATCATTGCCCTGCTCGACATCCGACTGAGCGAGTCGAGAGGGGATCTGCGCCATGGTAAGGAATGGGAGGGAGGGGTTGGATGTCAGATATGACGGGAGGGAGGGGTTGGATGTCAGATATGACGCGAGCGCACCTAGCTTGCCCCTCCCCCCTCCCCATCCCCCTCCCCCCCCCTCCCCCCCTCCCCCCGCTCCTCCTCCTCCTCCTCCTCCTCCTCCTCCTCATCCTCCTCCTCCTCCTCCTCCTTCTCCTCCTCCTCCTCCTCCTCCTCTTCTGTTTTTGATCGGTCGTCAAGCCGTCGGTGGCTGCGAGGCGCTAAACGTCGAAAAGCCACAATACTGTCATGCTGCACTATTGCTGAGCATCCCTGTTACATACCCCCAAGAGCCCCCCAGAGGCGCCCCAAAGGCTCCAAGCGGACCCGACGAGACCCCAAGAGGGGTACGAGAGGCCACTACATACTGCACCATTGCTTATCATCCCTGTCTTATCCTGGCGCGCAGCGCGTGCCGCGCACGCTGCACGCATGGAATCGTGCACGCCGCCACGCTCGTGGCAGCACCGCGCCGCCAGCAGGTGCGCACGCAGCACTGCGCACGCGGTGCGCGGGCGCAGGCGCGGATTCAGAAGAACGCTGCCCAAGAAGCGGGAGCCTTCCCAATGGGATCCGATCAGGTATGTAGGGTCCGGGGATCCCGAAGCATCACAAATGTATCGGGCGATTCACCGGCGACGTCGGGATGAAGGACCAGTCGGGCTCCGAATCGACTCGCATCGCCGATGCATCGGCGGTGCGGCGCGATCATCCGCCCAAATTTGCTCGGACCCCGTTTGGGAGACCTGGAAGATGCTCGGTTCTCTGGTTGGTTCACTCTCAAGTGTCTGGGCTCCGACCTGGAAGATGCTCGGTTCCCTGGTTGGTTCACTCTCAAGTGTCTGGGCTCCTGATTGACAGCGCACACGAATCTCAGATCTTGTACGTTTCTCCACGGTAACGCATGATTTGACTGGGCTTCTAGCGGAAAGTCACGTCGTTCACACACCTGGCGCGCGCGCGAGGGAACGAGGCCCCAGACCCAATCGTGCCCTCCCGACACCTCTCCCCAAGGGTGGGCGGGAAGCGGACGAGTCCCGGACTGGCGGCTCCGCGCGGCGGGCTCTGGCCAGATCCACCCCCTGGGGAACCCTGGCGCTCGATCAAGGGAGGCTCCCGAGCGTGCACCCCTGGGAGAGGGTTCGGTGGCAGCTCGTGGGAGCCTCTCATACCATCATGTCAGCTCTTGCGAATCGACGCTAATCGACGCTGAATCGACGATAAATCGACGCCAATCGACGATGACCAAAGCCAAATCGGCGTAAACTCATCGACTCCCAGACGCTGATCGACGCTGATCGACGCCAAAGACAAAATCAAAGGGGCATACCAGGCTCCCGTGATTTGACACCGAGGTCGAAGGAAGCTCCCGAGCGTGCCCTCCTGACAGGAGAGGGGGGGGGGCGGGGC